CTCTCTCTTTGTCTTTTCGAAGGTGTGTCATCGATGTCTCATTTATTGGACAAACCTCTATTAAGAGCTGCTGTTTGGAGCATATCTTGCGTTACTTGTCTCAGTAATACCCTCGTTTTGTGGGGAAGATTTACTGCCAAAGATGAGAATCGTGTTTTGAGTATCATGATCAGAAATCTCGCAGGTAATTACGTAAATTTATCTTTAATAAAAGATTTCCAAATTTTTTTAAAAAAGAACTTCTCTTTAGTATTCTTTAAAAAAATTAGACATTTACAAAAGTTGAACAAGTTAAAATAATTTTCAAATATTATAACATTATAAACATAGAAAATAGTAATCATATAAAAATACAAGCGATTTTAATCGTTCGCTTTATCGATCACTCTATCCATCACTTTTTTGATCACTCTTTTACTACATCAATGAATACGCTTCAAATCTATATATAAAATTTTTCTAAAAAAATCGGAAAGCTTAATTAATTTCAAGTTCATTCGCTGCTGAATCGCATATTGTAAAATTATTAGACATAGACGTGAAATAACGACGGCGTAAATAATCCCTATTCAAACGATCTATGTACACGAAGTGCACGCGAATTATCATCGTTCGCGGTTCACAACAAAGCGCAATGCGATGATCGATCGAGCATATTAATGTTAGGCTCACTATAAATCACAGGGTGATAAAGTCACGTAATCCTTTTATAGTGTCCGACATATTGATGGGAATATACCTCTTCATAATCGCCATAGAAGACGCAAGGTTCCGTGATAACTACAAAGAGGAAGCAAGTACGTGGATGTCCTCATGGCCCTGCACGATCTTAGGAGCGCTGGCGATGACATCATCCGAGGTATGCACATTAACACTTCGCTGAATCCCACAATTTTCAATTCGCAACGTACAATTGCTATTTAACGGTACTATTTATAATGACCGCACACGCTACTATTCAGCGAAATCTGGGCGTCATGACAAAGTCGACATATGTTAGCGATGCTGCTCGTGCTGCATTTGCCATGTAGTGCGTTTAATGTGTTTAACTTGTGTAATAACCGCGAAACATCGGAAATTTATTAATTAAAGAAGTCACAGTACGTATATTTCTTGAAACGAGTTTACTAAAATTGAATAGCAATATGCATATTACAGTAATAATAGATATACAGTTATAATAGATATAAATTAACATTAGATTATTATTATTAGAATTATTTTATTAGAAAATATTTTGGAAAAATTGAACGCCACGAAATTAAAATAAATGATTCTAAATTGTTCGGCAAGGTTTCCGTGCTCATCCTGTCATTCATGTCCGTGGAGCGATTTATTTTGATCGCAGCACCTTTGAAGTGTCATCGCGCCATGACATCTCAAGCTGCATCCTCATCGATGATCGTCATCTGGATTATCGGACTCATCCTCGCTCTTGTGCCAAGTTTGTTTAAAAAAAGAATACTTTCTTCATTTAACTTTATATATTTCATTTAATTTTAATATCTTGCACAGTAGAAATATTTTATTTTGATATTTTAAATATTATGATATTTAATAATATTTAAATTTCGATAATATTTGAGTCATTTACGTCGTATTTTACTAAATCTAAAAATATTTTCGAAAGAAAATAATTTAAAATTTTCCTATAATCTTGGTATAAATTGATTTTTTTCTCTGGATCTGAAAGTTATCCACTGGAGAAGCAGCACAAGATTCTACGGTGTCAATGGAATGTGCTTTCCTCTGCATATAGACGATCCGTATCTAATAGGCTGGGAATACTCGGCATTTATCTTTCTGGGACTTAATCTCGTCGGGTAAACTGCATATTACTACAAGAAATTTGTAATTGAATCTAATTTGACGCTATAAAACCAGTTGTCTTTTTAAGATTGCTTTTTAAGCTTATAATTTATCGACTATCATTTCGTTTTTTAACATTCCAGAACAAAATTTTTTATCCTTTCAAAAAATTGAATCCGTGCGGTTAGTTTTTAAAACGTTAGTTTTACATAACGCAACAATATATCTAATTGTTATCTAATTAGTATTTGAATTTTCTAGTTAGTTCAATTATGTTAATGATACAGTGTTCGTCAAGAAATTTAATCAACGTATGCCACAACTTGATTGATTCTCATTTCGCGATATTCATGATATTGCATTGGAAGAAAACAGCCTTTCAAGGCTATCATTGCATTCATTTGCAGATTGGTGATTATTGGTTACGTTTACGTTGCCATGTTCGCCAGCATCTGGAGAACGCGCCGTGCCACGCCATTGTCGGTCGGCGATTCCGAGTTCGCCCTCAGGTTCTTCCTAATCGTGTTGACAGACGCGGCATGTTGGGCACCGATTATAGCGTTGAAAATCCTCGCCATGATGAAATATCCCGTCCCACGTAAGCAAAAACGTTGATGCGAATTTTCGCGTTCCCACCGACTCGCTTCTACTCCAACATTATCTCCTTTAACAATCTTTACTTATAAATATACATGCAGACCATAAAATTTAATATCTTCTATATTTTTGTTTAAAAACATAAATATAATATTTATTTTTTGTTTCATTTCGCAAAAAAATTAATCAAAAATTAAATAGTCAAAATTTAATATATATATATATATAAAATATATAATTTTATATATTTAATATATATAAAATTTACAAAAAGATATATATTTATAAATAAAATTCAATGTGACTCTTTAGCAGCACTATTGAATTTAAATAATATTAATACATAAAAATATTTATAGCCGATTTACACGCTTGGGTAGTGATTTTTATTCTACCGTTGAATAGTGCGGTCAATCCGCTGTTGTATACTTTTACCACGCCGAAATTTCGCGAAAGGCTCAATGAGGGTTGGTTTAGAAAAGTGCGCAGCTACATATCGAGAAAACATTCCAGACAAGGTTTGTACTCCGATATGAATAATTGCTTCAACTCTTCTACTCATAAAACGTTTATTGCTTTTATTACAGATTCACAGGCATCAGCTAACACCAATAAAAGCATGATTACCGATAGGAACGTGATACAGCCGATCTGGACTGAATATGATGATGATGATGATGATGATGATAAAAAGAGAACAGCGCCTTTTCTCGAAGATGAAGAACTTCGATCCGAGAGGCAGGACTGAAATTTAGTAATATGTTTATCTATTAATTCTATCTATCTCACTTCTATTACTTTTATATTAAATGTTACATAAATTACTGATTACGCCAATGTTCATACATTGCAAAGCTAATAGATTCTAGTTACAAAAAAAGTACAAATTTTTTTAAGAATATATTCATCATATAGACTTAGATAATAGATAAATAGATAGTTTAGAACTAGCTTTATTAAACAGTAAAATTCTATGATCTAATAATCACAACAAATATAAAATCCTCATAAAAAGCCTTCTATATAATTTTAATCAAACTCAATTAATTTGAATTACGAAATTACGCCAGGAAAACTTTCTAGCGTGCTACAGAGAACAATTATTTATCGCTTCATTATCACTTGATTATCGCGAAAGGCATTTTCGTCCACTCGAAAATGTTCCGTTTTACAAGACGGTGCCGCAGTGCTGTTTGAGAGCACGCACTGCTCTCCAGCGGCTAATCCGTTTTATTAGAAGCGACTCGGCAAGAAGCTTAGCACAGATATCCGTGCTCTTATCCCCCCCCGTTTTCTCAGATTAGCCCAGAATCCGCTCCGTTTCTGAATGTATTGTTTCGCGCATGGGTGATCCCGGCATGCGGATGTTTCAATTGTATCAACTCTGATGGCCCCCGACGGAGTACCCACCCACGAATACGGGTCGTGCTCGAAAACGTACATAAATTATTTTCCGACGAAGTCGGAAACGCGAAACGTGCACCGAAAAATTTACGACATCGATTCTGATGTACCGGCAAATCATGTTCCACCGATGTGGCACCGTTATGCCGGGTCAGCGCCACTTGTTCCGTATTATTATTATTGCGAGATGAGAAATTTATCTTCGAACACACGGGCGGGGTGACTTTTTAAGCGGCTTCACCGCTGTGTACACTCTAAAACGAGCACTACATCACTCAAATATGCTCGATTAGTCGGTGTAAAATCATCGGTCGGCACGATCATCCCTTGAGGAGAGATGACTTGCCTGTATAATGAAACGATACTAAGTGAAAAAGAGGAAGAAAGCGAGGACATTATCGATAATTAATTCCTACCTTTGCTAAGATACACGTATTTTATTTCTCTCGTCATCTTTATTTCCATATTATTTAAATTATAATTATGAGAAAGAAAACTAATATCAAATTGAAGCAAATACTCTTTAATCATAATAAATTTAATAAATTATAATAAATTTAATATAATAATAAAAATGATGGATAATTTTTTTATAAGTTTTTTTTTAATAAGTAAATAATATAATAGCGTGTATTAAATTTATATTTAGCTCAATCATCTCTTATATTAAATAAGAAAGAAATTTATAATAAACAATAATATACGCGGATATATAGAATAGTTTTGCTGGATATTGAACTGAAAAATAATTTTAGGACATTCAAATTAAAAAATTTTGCAGTATCGTCATACCTAAACGTTTTACATAATAATTTAGATAATCCAAATTATTATTATTTTTTTTTTTTTTAGATCTGTATCTAGCCAAATTTTTAGATTCTACAACAAAGCATAGAAAAAAATAAGAAAAAGTAAAGTGAGCTAAATAATAAGCTTTTACTTATCCATTTATGAATGAACTCTTGAATTGTAATCCATTAAAGCCTGCGGAGATATAAACAGCGAGAGATGCAACGATATCCGACTTCCGACTTTCGGAGGGTTACAGTCAGCCGTAAATCATGCGAACGGCCAAGAAAAATGCATCTCGCGAGCACTCTACGATCTACCGGCACGTGGGTTGGTTCTTACGCGATATAATGTGTAATTTATGGCGGATGGCCAATGGTAAGGTCCCGTTAAGGGGCCTCGATACTTCGCCCGAGACAGACCGCCTTTTAGGACTGACTTTTCTTCCGCCTTAAGCTGCTAAGATTTCTTCGGCTACAATACAATTACATTACGATGTAGGCGGATATGCGTTATGCGATCGTCCACGAAATTGTCCCGGTATAAAAAGAAGGCAAACATCTCGATGTAACGATGCCGGTAGATTGGTGGCAAACCGCCGTGACGCATTGGTGCGACATCATTGAATTATCGAGTGTGAATTATCGTGAAATAAAAATTGCACTCATTACACTAAATTGCACTAAATACACGAATTTTCAATTTGAAAAAAAGAAGATGAAGAATCTTTTTACAAATTTGTAAAAATTAAAATCAAAAAGATGTAGAAAATACGTGCATATAGTAAATATGTGCATTTAGTAAAATACTAATCAGAAAGTTTAAGATATATAATCACAACTGATAATGATAATTTAATTTTATCAATTATAATTTTTTTGATAAATATTGACAAACTGGTTATACATTTTTCGAAAGGTTTGAAATATATTTAAAATATTTCTGGATATTTCTGCAATTATTATTGCAATTAAAATATATGCAATTTAAATATTTCTAATATTTCTGATTTTTTAAATTAGTTTCTGCACGTATTTTAATATGCAATAAATATTAGTTAACTTGATATATATGACAAAGAGAATTTTCTAAGATATGATAATGGCGGCGCCAGGGCTCCAACCGGAAGACAGGGAACGTGAAGGAATTTCCAATGAACGTATATTGTATATCTATAGTGTCGCCTGGCATAAATTATTACAACTCTTGGCAATAGAGAAGAATATTTTTCATGCATGCACGCACACGTGATACGCAAAGCGAAAGCGAGCAACAAGATCGCAACCTTCCGAAGGTCTTCTCGAGAATTACTTCGAGTGAGTACTTGTCAGTAGCAGAATAAAAAAAAAGGGTGAAACGCCACGTAACCATCTTTATAAATGATATATGCGAGGTGTGTTCAACATATATATATGCCGATGATCAATCTAATGATATTCTTGCTTAGAAACTAAAAGACACAAAGGTGACGAGATGCATCATTTATCTTTACGAGGTTTTCGTTTTTCAAAGTTCCAAATAATATAATTAAAAAATTTAAATTAATATATTTCTCAAGTAATTATTCAATTCCATCAACTTCCGATGGAATCGACTCAAAGTTGATCGAAACTGTATGCCCGTCCGTGGGCTCCAACAATGGAAAGATCTTGAAAACGTTAATAAAGTTTCGAACAGATCGCTCGGCAATCTACGAAATTGGCCGGCGCGATTCGCAAAGAGTTAAAGACGGCCATCAGACGATCTCCGGCGCGAAATCGATGCGAAAGAGAGCCGCCCGCGCCACGGATCTTCCTTCCCACAATTATAGGGTATAAAAATTCTTTCGGATTTCAGTCACGCAAGCGCAAGGCTGCATTCGGTCCACGGGAAGAAGATTTACGTGCGAGGCGGTAATTGGCGCCGTTTCGAATTTTTACAGCGCGGAGGATCCTCGGATACAGCCTTCCGCGATAAGGGAATGTCCGAGTACAGTGTAAGATATCAAAGAAAATGGCTCGGCCGTACTAGTTAACGCGACTGTAATATTTACGCTTCAATGCGGTTATCGGTGATGCCGGGTAATAGTGAAAGCTGTGCAGTCTTTCTTTTATCACAGTCCGTGATTACATTGCATAATCTTATATACACGCCCAATATCGTATAAACGTAAATATTTCACAATGCGTACATTACAGAGAAATCTTACGTAAGCCAATATGAGCGATCAATAATTCACAGAAAGAACAGTTTTGCTGGCAAATTGAAAAAATCAGCTATATATATAGATTTGAAAATAATTTCGTTAGGCCTTTAAAATTATCGTGCACAACGTTCAAATTGATTGCTGGCAGGTAAAAAATTTCTCGCAGTATTATTATATTTAAACATTTTACATTTTATATAATTTTGATGGTCCAACAAAATTACTTTCAGATTCAAATTCTAGCTAATAAAACTTCTTTCCGTTTTCATTTGCTAATTAACATCTTTTCGTTCAATATAAACAGATCTCGAAGACAAAAAAAGTTTTGAAAAGATCAGTTTGGAAATTTCATTGCCGGCGAAGTATATTTTGCATAAAATATACTTTGTCATAAAAAAAGACTAATATTAAGATAATAGATTCTGCATCTATGCATTCATCTATTCCTATGCATTCGTTCTAACATCCACCAATTTCTTAGAAAATATTCTACAGTATCGATTTATAAATACGTGTCGGAAGCACGTTCTAATGAACGGTGGCCGTAGTGATCGTCGATCGATATTCCTGTCGATCATATCCTTGGGTACCGTACAAAGAATCATTCAAGATCACAGCAATGGTGATGAGACCACTATACGTTCACCTATTACATTCTATTACATGAATTACGTTCATTACGCTCGGAGATGGTCGACGTGAACGACGCGACGGCAGGCGAGATTGACGGGAAATAGATGATACTAATACCGATCACCAATATATAATAATCATATATACAATAAATATATTATAATAATAAGTCGCAAATAATTAGGCCGCAATAGCATCCCAATAGGAAGGCACAGTCATAAATCATTTATGAACCGTAATAATATTATAATAATTTTACATCGATATATTGTCACCCATTATATTTTATCAATTTTCTCATATTAAAGAATTAATGTTTTAATTTTTATTAATTATAAAGATAAAAATAAAATTAATTATAACAACTAGAATTCAAAAAAGATTACTTAGATTTCAAAAAAAAAGAAAAATTAAAATTCCACTGTTTTTGCGAAACAAAATCTACCAAAATGGTCGAAATTTATTCTGACGTCGCGTGCGAGTGCATGTACATGAATGAACAACAAATGGCATTGGCAAAAGGAAGAAAAAGGGAGAAGGGGGAAAAGGGAGGATGTGAAGAAGCACTGCTTGACACGCTCGCCGACATATTAAATAACGCGACAGCTGCGGAATACGCGGCACCGATACCTCATACCGGCCCGGTACTTCTTTCGCATCGTTACTCGCAGATTATTAACGTTACACAGCATTTTCGAGATTCACGGTTCGAGTGGACCATCACATTTCGTTTTTCTTGTTCCGGAGAAGCTTCAATATTTGTTCAAGAATTAATTTTTCTTTCCTTGACTTTTTTGCAATATAACATAACTGTAGCATTAAAACATAATACACGTACAGGGAAGAGAAAATGTTTCTTAGAATTAAAATAAAATCAATTGGTCGATAAGAAAGTAGCAAAGCAAGTTTGAATGTTGAGCAAGATTTCCAGATAAATCTTTATCGTAAGATTTATTTCATTGCGCATTTTGCGCGCCGTGACAAGATACGGAGCGATATTGGACCACATCGGGTCCGGACCCAAGACCTGGTCCAGCTGTTGAAGAGCTCGAAGAAGGATGATGCGAGCCACTGGAATGCGGGGAGTACATTGGTGAGGGGTGCATCTGAATCGAGTGTATCGTGTGGCATCGCGTCACAGTATCACATTGCCATACCTGCCAATTACAAAACCGTTCGGTCGACTACCCGGCAATGAGCAACATATCGCGACGCGGTCATCGACTCGTGTGCTGCAAAAAACCTCGCAATGTACATACATATCTATAGACAAACGGCGATACACGGAAACGATATATCGCTTAAATTCTCAACAGAATGTCTAAGAATATCTGTCGAAGAAATTCTCTGAGAATTTCTTAATTTTCAAGATAATTGTTTGAAAAAATTTTAGGTAAAAATGAAAAGTATTTTTAAATACATCTTACAAATAAATATATATTTATTGTGCAAAGTCCTTAATATTTTTCGTTCATAAAAGTTTGTAAAATAAAACTAAGAATCACTCGAGTTTCAATAATCAAATTTGAAAAAATTTTGAAAGAAATTATAAGAATTCTATAAAAAATAAATATTTCATACTGCATGAAATTTTCAAACTTTATTTTCAAAAATTACAAAAAATTATATAATGTATAATCGAAATATAATTCAATTTTTATAAAACTATTAAAATAAATATCCGTCTTCATTGCAACAAAATTGCATCTAACGCTACATCGTTCATTCGTCTTCAATATTGGATATTATATTAATCTTAAAATCATATATTTTGAATAAATGGTTCACTATCACCATTAACGATTCAATCAGTAAATTCCCGATTATAACACAAAGACAATATATTATGATAACTTCAAAATAATTCCCTAATTTCCAACTAAATTGTCTAAGAATTCTCTGATTTTTCAAGGCACAAACAAATTTCTTGAAAATTCCAGATTTTCCTGATTTTTTTCAGATAGTAGACTGATTTTTTTCAGATAGTATTCTGGTGAGATATACTAAACTAAAAAAGAAATAAAATAAAAAGGGGTATTTCAATTATCAAAATTGTTATTGTAGTATCCATTTTAAGATAATTATGAAAGAAGGCACAATTTTACTTCGTATGATATAATCTCGCTTTAAACATCCAAATGGAATTTATTCTCGGACTTTTTATTCTCGGTTGCGAAATAACTATAAAACAACTCGTGACGCAAACTCGATAAGCTTAAGTGAGGAAATCAGTGTCAAATCATTCCGGGGCAGAATGCGTGAGCGGAATCCTTGATACCGACGTTCTCCTATCAACGCGGCTTATGACTATTAATTAAAAGCGGCAACGCTCGACTCGCGCTTCGGCATTCACGCGGTCAGCGACACGAAAGCAGAAGGCGGAGACTCGACATAAACAACTACGCGGACGGAAATTAATGCGCCGCGTCGGTGCGAAATGCGGCGAAACTATCTGCCAATGCGGATAATTAGTCGGGCGCCGATGCTAGCGCTAGTAAGATTCGAAACGGAAAGAGCAACGTAATGTAGCTATCTCAATTGCATTTTTCCAACGGAAGTGTTTAAATAAACTATTACGATTGTAATCAACTTTAGTACTTAGAACGGCATCCAGAGTTCGATTCTCGCAAATTTCCTGCACAACCGGAATCAAATATAAGTAGCAACACGAATATATTTTAGTAAATCTTACGACATTCTTGCCTTTAAATCTTTGATCGAAATGTGATGATATTGATGATCATGAGGTCATTTAGCGTTAAAACTGGAAAGCTATCGCGATGATAAATTCTCGATGACAGAAGATAACTTAATCTGGCTTTAATCGAACTTTCTCTTGCAGGAATTCAAGATTTAATTGTGGAGACACTCGCTAAAGATGCGACAAATTATTACTGTTTATTATTATTGATTATTTTTGTTTAAGAAAAATCGACCGACTCCGAGTTGGTCTCAAAATCCATGGATAAAAAAGAATTTCCTCGTATATTTCGCGCGTTAGATGATAACAGCAAACACGGAAAGAACGATTTTGCTGAAGTATCTAAAAATTTGGATTTTCAGATACAAATCTAAAAATTTTGTTCGACTATCAGAATTATTATTAGGACGTATAAATATAATAATACCGCAAAAATTTTTGATATTCTATGCAAATAATTTAAATATTCTGTTTTGTGGACCGACAAAATTATTTTCAGATCCGTATAGAAAAAATTAATTAAATTAAGATTATATATTCTCATCTGTAAGCAAGAATGCTATAATCTTCTTAGAAAAATTTTAATCTTGATTTGATCAAATTTATATTGCAAGTATAGATATTCTCATATATACATAGCATATACAAGCAAATCGTATACAAGCAAAATATATAATCTTTATATAGAAAAATATAGAAAAATATAATCTTTATATAGAAAATTTTGAATTTGAAATTTTGAAAATTGAACAAAAGTAATACTTGCATTAATATATTAATTCAGTCTCCTGCTTATATATATTATTCTTGGTATGTAAATTATATTCTTGCTT